TCAAGATGAGACAGATGCCCACTATGATAAGGAAAGGAATTAAGTAGTATTCCAAAGGAAGACTAAATTCTGGAACTAAAATAATGTGGCCCCCTTTTTCATAGATGAATTCATCTTTCAGGGAATTAGCTGATGATTCCCCAATAAAGACAGATGGAATGTCAATTTTCTTCAGCACATCAATGTCGTTGGATCCCATGCTAATGAGGTCATCAGAATCAACATTGTGAACTATGGCTGCTTTGTATCCTGCTTTCTGTGCATTTAAAACCTTCATATCAAAATTACAATCAAGTCTTCTAATTAACACGATGAAAGTGCCAGATGAATTGTCTTTTACTGGTGGAGGCACTATGGGTTCACAGGCATTTTCTGGTTTGGCGTTAATCAAAAAACCCTTTAAACCTTCAGCTGGAAGTCTATAACCAAATCTCGCCGGAAGATCATCAAACGTCTGAGTCACATTTTCAAAATTGTATGCTAAAATGTCCGCTTCTACAGGCAGTAAGTTTAAGAATGCAAAGAGCTGGATGGTCAAGATGGTATATATTTGTGTGGCTGACAGCATGAGCATTCCTATGGAGAGCAGCATCTCGCTGCAAAAATACCTGGAAGCCTGACCCCAAAACACAAAGAGGCTGGTCAGCCGCGTTGCTGCGGGAGAAGTTCCTATCCAGACTTCATGACTGAAAATCCGCACCGTCCCCCCCCTTGGTCACACTTTTTAAAAAAACTTTTATCACACTGCATATGCTGTTCTACATCTGAGTTTTTAATGATCCAATATATCATGGACATTTTATTCTAAGCCAGTATTGAGAGAACGATGTCATTCTTCAAAGGTCACAGTGTATGATTATGCCACAGTCATCCCTGTTTTCAGTTTTTTAAAAAAATCATAACAAACTCTGCAGTAATGGTTATCTTTGTACATACAACTCTGCAATTTTTGGGAAGGAAAATGTAAGGTAACTTCCTAGAAATGTAATTGATTTAATTTGCAAGGGGTAGACAAATTTAACCTCTGATAAATATTGATAAATTGCCTTCCATGTAATTTAAACTTATTAATAGTCTCATGACCAGCATATACTTTAGAATTAGTTTCATTTACAATTTCTGTTTCAGAGGAATCTCACCTATTCTTATTTCTGTATGCAATGAAAACATTAATGCTCAAGGAAAAGGAATCAGTGGTTCTAGTAACTTCTCAGCAAGATTGGACTGCTAATGGTCAGTAAATATTCCAATTACCTTTTTAAGTTAAAAACAACAAAAATCAAACTATACAAACAAATGAATAATTCAAGCACATTCTGTGATACAAACTTTACTACTTTAAGTTTATACCTAGAAAAAGAAGTGTTGGGTATTAAAGCACATGACTAGATTCTAGTAGAATATTACTAGAAATGCAGACATAAAATATATCTAAACACCAAGTCACCCTACAGAATCCTGATGTAGAGTTTCTAATAGTAACAATAAAAAAATGATATATTGAGAAATGCTCATTGAAAAGTGAAAAGCTATTTCATATCCCATTATCATCTGCCACAAAAAAGAAATATTCACACTAAGCCCAGGCAGACACTAGTATTATTTAAGTTCACCTACTTACAGTGAATCTAAGAAAATCCTTGTTACTACTACTGAACTAAATGTGCAAATGTAGAAAAATTCCTATGGTAAATTTCTGAGTCTACTTTTCCCCCTTCTGCTATGATCTTATGCAGTCAGCCATCTGAATTGTATTTACTATACTACTGGGAAGCAATATTTGCCCACTGACTAAAGTAAAAGCTCTATCTTCCCTACTGTTTTTGAAGTTATTCCCATGTGTTTTTCATTTTCTACACCAGGTATTTTGCCCATCTCAGAATAGATTATTGAAATTCTCATTATTATTTACTAATTCAACAGAACATGCTATACTTTCTTACAATGTGGCTATTGCTGCACTGTACTGAACAATGGTTTCTTTAATGAAACCAAATTCTTCTTTCCTACTCCAACTTTTCCAGGAGCCCTGTATCTGAAAGGGCCTAGTGCCTGTGACAGTTAACTTTATGTGTCAACTTTACTGGCCACAGAGGATCCAGATTAAACGTTATTTCTGGGCATGTCTGTGAGGGTGCTTCTGGATGAGATTAACATTTGAATCAGTGGATTTAGTAGATTGCTCTCCCCAGCGTGGGTGGGCATCATCCAATCCTTTGAAGGCCTCAATAGAACAAAAGCTGGAGGAAGCAGAATTTTGTTCTTCTGCCCTAATGCTTGAGGTGGGACATCTCATCTCATCTCATCTCCTGCCCTCGGACTGGGATTTACACCACTTGGCTCCCTTGGTGTGCTCAGGTCTTCAGACTGAAATTTCAGAATTTAATTCCTTTTAAAGGTCTGTTGTGTGTATATTTGACATTTTGTTTATCCATTTATTTGTCAAGGCACATTTGGGTTGTTTCCAACTGTTAGCTATTGTGGATTCTGCATATGAGCATTGGTGTACAAGTTTCTGAGTCCCTGTTTTCAATTCTTTGGGGTAGATACCTAGAAGTGGAATTGTTGTATTATACAGTATTTCTGCATTTAACTTTATGAGGAACTGCCTACTGGTTTTCAATAGCAGATGTAACATTTTACATTCCTGCCGGCAATTTCTAATTTTTCCACAACCTCACCAACACTTGTTATTTATCATTTTGGTTAACAGCTATCCTAATGGCCATAAAGTGGCATTTCAGGTTTTGATTTGCATTTCCCTAGTGATTATTAATGATGAGCATCTTTTCATGTGTTTGTTGGCCATCTGTCTATCTTCTTTGGAAAAATGTCTATTAGACTCTCATTTTTATCTGTTTTCGAATTGGGTTGTTTGTTCTGTTGTAGCATTGTAGAAGTGATATATATATGCTAGATACTACTTACTTATCATATATGTAACTTGCAAATGTTCCCTTACATTGTGTAAATATTTCACTCTAAACAGTGTTCTGTAATGTATAAAACTTAATTTTGATAAAGACCAATATATCTACTTTTTTATTTCCTGCACTTTGGATGTCATATCTAAGAAATCATCACCAAATCCAATGTCATCAGAATTTCCCCTCTGTTTTCTCCTAAGTGTGTGTTTTATAGTTTTAGCTCTTAGTTTAGGCTTTTGTTATTTTGAGCTAATTTTTATGTTCAGTAGTCCCCCTCATCTGTAGGGAGTATGTTCCAAGATCCTCAGTGGATGCCTGGAACTGGAGATAGTAGTGAACTCTCTATATAATATGTTTTTTCCTATACATAGACACATACAATAAAGTTTAATTTATAAATTAGGCACAGTAAGAGATTAACAACAATAACTAATAATAAAACAATTATAACAATATACTATAGTACAAGTTCTGAACGTGGTCTTTCTCAAAATATTTTATTGTACTGTACTCACCCTTCTTTTCATGATGACATGGGATGATAAAATACCTACGTGAGGAGATGAAGTGAAGTGAATGACCCAGGCATTGTGACAGCATTAAGCTACTACTGACCTTCTGACTCTGTCAGAAGGAGGATCCTCTGCTTCCAGACCATGGGTGACCATGGGTAACTGAAACTACAGAGGGCAAAACCATGGATAAGCGTGGACTACTGTACAGTATAAGGGTTTACTTCACTCTTTTACATGAGGACATCCAGTTTCCCCATTTGTTGAAAAAGATTGTCCTTTCCTTATTGAATGGTATTGGTACCCTTGTTAAAAGTCAATTAACCATACATGCCATGCAAGGGTTAATTTCTGGAGCAATATTAATTTTGACAGTGCCAAACTGCCCTCCAAAGAGCATAAACCAACTTACACTTTGGCTGATATATGAGGATCCATTTTCCATATCATCCAAAGACATTTTTGAGAGCAATATAATGTGGCCTGAGACAGAATATACTTCATATTATACTTAAGCACATTTTTTAATGTTTGTAAATACCATACTTAGGTAAATCTTTTTGTAATGTGTTTGTTTCCAGTGGGCTGGTGGTTCTCATTAGTTGAATATTATTTTAAAATACACTCATTTTTACCTTACCACCCCAGACATTCCTAAGATGTTCTTTGACTGGGAATGAGCATGAAATTTTTTAGTGAGAAATCACTGCAATTTAAATTTTTTTTTCACTTCTGCTTCTAAGAAAAGTATCTCACTCATTTTTTGCTCTGCAACTGAGTCTTCTTCCCATGGTTGTCTTTTCTTATTTTCCTAAAGGCCTATGATAAGGTGCATGACAAGCGTTTCTCTCATTGGCCCCAAAATAACACATTTGATTCAAAGAAGAATAAACATTATAAGATAGGGTTTGTGCAAACTTTCACTTATATGAATCCACATAAAAAAAAATTTGACCATCATGACAATTCTATGTAACAATTCTGTGTTACAGTGTGCTTTTACAGTTGAGTAAATAGAGGCTGAGTTAGCTAAGCCTCTCTTGCCCAAGGTCATGTAATAGAACCCAAGTCTCCCAACTTTAAGTACATTACAGTAAACCCCATATTACTCATATGTTTGCTAAAAGTGTGTTATTTTGGTAAATCTATTTTTTAGATATTAAGTTATTTATTAGCTTAAAAAAAAGATCTGTCAATAGGAGGGGTCTTACAGCTGCCCTGAAGGTAAATATTAAAGAATAATGAGTAATATATATTTAGTTACTTTGAACTAGCTAACCTCATTCAGAGCACACTAGAAAAGCATGACCCTTAAAACACATACCACCAAGTGACCTGGTGAAAATTCCATTCCACTGGCTTTAGGATAACAAGTACTTCATCTGAAGTCAGCATTTGCTACCTATGGACAAACCTCATGGCTTATAGTAAATATTACTTCAGAATCACACTAGATTTCAGCACTGATTGAGTATGAACTCCATAAAACAAGCCAAAAGAGGTATGAATTATCCTGGATTATGACAGTATTTCAAGTTTTATTCTTTATTTTAATTTCAAATGATTTTCAAACCATTATTTTATAATGCTTCATCATAACACTATTTTTGAAGGACTTACCATATATAAGATACCATGTTAAGTAATTTACATACATATTTTATTTAATGCTCACCACTAACTTAAGGAGACAACTATTATCTCCATCTTGTAGATGAGGAAAATAAAACCTAAAGAGGTTTAGCAACTTCGCCAAGGTCACAACTAAGTAGCTAGATTTGGATCCCATGCTCATCTAACTACAGCTTTCCAATTAACCTATATATTTATGGACATTATATAAAATTTTCACTTTAGAATGCATTTTATGTTCTTCAAAGCTTTTGATCCTCCCAGTCTCTAGAATTACATAAGTAGGTAAAATTTAACAAATTTTTGATTTATCAAAATAGCTCAAACTCTAAAAAGCTAAACAGCAATAAAGGACCCTAAAACAATTTATACGCTCACCATCAGGAACAAAGTGTGGTGGAAGTACCAGCATCAATACTCTATTTCAAACTATGTGTGCTGGCTAAAGTACTCAAGGCAAGCAGTCAGCTATGTCTTGGCCCCGAATTTCTGATGTTCTTCCTCTGGCCAGGGAGTGTTATACAGTAAGATTCCACTGTAAGGCTGCAGTCAAAATCCAATCCTCACCAAAAGCACATAACAATCTATTTTTAGGTATGGCTATTAATATTTGTCATATATAGATATGCACATATTTTCCATGAATACTGTT